GGATGGGGGAGGGAGCGGGGGGCCGGGCGGGGGGCCGGGCGCCCCTGGAGCCAGCTGACCGCGTCCCGTCCTGCTTCGCAGGTGGCGGTCGACATGGAGTTTGCCAAAAACATGTACGAGCTGCACAAAAAGGTGTCTCCCAGCGAGGTCATCCTGGGCTGGTAAGCTGGCCGTCCGCGGGGACGCGAGCGCGGCTGCGTGGGTCCCTTCAGCTACTGGAAATACATAACTGCGCCTCACAGCTCGAGCAGCAGGAGCACTAATGCTTGCGACAGTGTTGGAGACTTCCAGGGTTTGTGTTTGTTTATGATATAATCATTAAGGTTGGAGAAGACCTCTAAGATCACCAAGTCCAACCATCACCCCAACACCACCACGCCTGCTAAACCATGTCCCCAAGTGCCACATCCACATGGTTTTGAACCCCTCCTGGGACGGGGACTCCAGCACTGCCCTGGGCAGCCTGTCCCAGTGCCTGACATACCTAGAAAAGGTATCACAGAGGAGTGATTAGCTAGGGAATGCTTGCACGGGTTTCTTAGAACGCAGCCACCTGTAATACAGTCTGCACCACGGAAGATAACAGGCTAGAAAGAAGAGCAGTTCCAAGTATCGAAGGCCTCAGGAGGAATTGGTGACAGCACCATGAGCACGCAGAAGTTCTCCGCTCAGAAAAGGTGGAAGTACTTGCGTGGGGGATGTGAAGCAAGATCAGTAGGGTGTTACAGGAACAGTCTGTGGATAGATAGCTTTATTTTTCATGCTTCTCTGATCCTACAAAATAGCTTAGTCCTGTTCCTGTGGAGCAAACTTCAGCAACCTTCTAATGGCACGGCAAAGAGCAGTTCTAATGACAGGAGTTTTCCTCTGTGTGTGAGAAGCTAATGGCAGAGCAGCTAAAGGAGCTAGATGAACAGGTTCTGCCTCCTGCATAGAGATGTTTCATTTGTGGAAGATCTGCTTGGTTGGTCCACGTTTGCTTGGCATGCTTTGACTGACATAGAAAGGAGCGTAGTGACAGGTAACTGAATCTCGGGTGTCTGCTGTCAGCCGTGCCGCCTCTGTAGGGCTGGTACTGCGACACTGGCCCTGTGTGTGTTTCGGGCACACGTGTGCTCAGCCTGCGATTCCTACAATTCTAGGACAGCTGGGCACAGAGCTACAAATTCCCTAGTTAAAACACTTGTCTTTAGCATGCTTCTGCAGCTACGTGTTTGGAAATCAGTGTTTCAGGATGCAAACCAGTTAAATAACAGCGACACCCAACACTGCCCTTGGATGCTGGAAGAATGGCTCCTCAACTTGTGCTCTTTTGAAGGTATGCAACAGGTCACGACATCACGGAACACTCTGTCCTGATCCATGAGTACTACAGCCGGGAAGCGCACAATCCGATCCACCTCACTGTGGACACGAGTCTCCAGAATTCACGCATGAGCATTAAAGCCTACGTCAGGTACTCTGGGAGGCTGCATTTCTGGGAGGGGAGCTATCTGAATTACTAGGAGAGACCACAGCAGGTTAACGAGAAATGTTAGTGTGAAATGGCTGCAGTGTCTCATTTTGGACAATATTGTGCAGTAGCTAAAACACAGCAGTGAGCCAGGGATCGTGGCATACTTCCCACTGGAGTAGGTGAAAGACCTAACCTTTCACAAGCTAGAACCTCGGGGTGGGGAACTGTGACTTCATTACCTTCAGCAATGTTCTGAACACCTTCGTGACGTTTCACAGGATTCAGGTAGCTAGCGTTAATGTCAGGAACTGCCGTCACACCGAGCGCTAGCCTGTAGTCACTGTGCTTTATTGCTTGGCAGTTTATTTGTACAAGTTGGAGGATTAGTGCAGTTAAAAACAATTGAAACAGCATCTTCTTGATCAGTGTTTCTTCCCTTTAACCCCTTCCATTTCTACCAGTTAATTAATAATGGAGATTAAATATTGAGAAATGAAACTATTCTACCTCACTGTTCTTCCCAGTACCAGCTAAAGAGCATTCCTCTGTAAGGATAAAACCCCAGCCTTTCTTTGTGGCACAGCTCTACTGCTTCTTGACTGTGCATCTTCCAAAAGGAAGCTGTTCCATGACGTCTTAATGAAAGCACAAATGAACTTCAAGTACTCTGAATACTAGAAATAATGAAGGTCTTGAGAGTGCTTTGAACTTGCATTTTTGTCGTATTTATGTTTGTTCCTTAAGTGGTTTCTTAAAGAGCATGGAGTATTCCAGGACAGAAGAATACGTGCTCTATAAGCAAGAAGGAACTGTGCTAAGAAGACAGTACTTAGCTCTTTGTGCATTCATGCTGACAAATGCCAGGACAGCTAGGAATATTCTTAGATGAAAATGAGCAATTAATAGCATGCCAGGGCTGATTTTCTGTCCTTGGTTATCCATGGTCTTAATATTGCTGATTTTGGTGAGAACAAGTAACGTTCACACTTCAGAGCTAACAGAGATCACTGAGATGGAAATCTGTTACTTCCTCCCTTAAATATCTCCATGATGAAAGTGTTTTGTTCTTTTTTTCTCTAGTGCCCCAATGGGAGTCCCTGGTAAAACGATGGGCGTGATGTTCACACCCCTAACAGTGAAATACGTTTATTACGATACAGAGCGGATAGGAGGTGAATGTTTTCTTCCTATTTTGGCTATTACCGTTGTTGTGACACTTCAGCTGCTTTCTGTACCCTGGTAAAGTTGCCATTCTGGGAATTCTGAGATTTAGACTGTCCTGTTTATACGACCCTAAAAATCTTCAAGAAGATAAGGATTTAAACCGTTTTCTGTGGCAGCCAGTTTTTTCACTGATCCTCCTTTTGCTTTCAGTGGATCTTATCATGAAGACGTGTTTTAGCCCTAACCGAGTGATTGGGCTGTCCAGCGACTTACAGCAGGTGGGGTCGGCGTCAGCCAGGATTCAGGATACCTTAACCATGGTGCTGCAGTATGCCGAGGATGTATTGGTAAGGCCAGCTTTTTACGAGCCAGCAAATAAGTCTGATGTAACCGGGGCATCTTGGTTTTCTTTTTACATATTCTCTTTCTGGGCCATAAACTTACTGAGCTTCACTCATGATGAAGTGTATGTTTCTTATGCTTAGTCTGGCAAAGTGGCCGCTGACAACACTGTCGGGCGATTCCTGATGGATCTTATTAACCAGGTGCCAAAGATTTCACCAGAGGACTTTGAGACAATGTTGAACAGCAATATCAATGTAAGTTCATCACCTGATTTTTTTCAGTGTATTGCCAGCAATTTTGAAAATTTGTCATACAAACACAAATTTACCTGTGATCAAAACAATCTTATATTTTCATACAAACGCTAGAAGAAAACACAGCCCTTTCCTTGTCAGTAATTTGATGTTTTAAGAGCTGAAGATGGATAAAGGAGCTCACCATAATAATCTTGCAAGCAACTGCAAATGAGAGGATAAGTTTTAAAGTACTTAGGAATTACGCAGCAATCTGAAAGCCAGCACCAGTTGTTCTTTTAGAGTGATTGGACGATACGAATCACCAAGCTTAAAGCAGCATGGATTTCAGTGATAACTGGTGACTCGCCAGCTTCCTTTGCCTGAGCTGAAGTTCTTTTTCCTTGCGTAACCCTTGGGACATGAACCAGGTTTTAGCGTGCTACCTTATTTCTGTAACAGGTTTTTAGAAAGCGAAAGCTAAGTTTCTGAATGTGTTGTTCACCCACAGTCTGCAAGACTAGAACTAATTTTTAATTTTGCTTATACCCTTTGACTTGCCTGGTTAACATGGGTGAACTCAGAGTTAAAATTTCACAAGCAGTGTTTCATATGCTGGGAGTACCAAAACCTGCAAGGGAAGCGCTCCTCAGGGTAGGACTTTCAGGACTGAAAATATTTCTAGCAGCTGATTGTAAACTGCTTAACAGGTGTTAAAAATTCAACTCCCTAACAGGCTGCCACCTTTGTTAATATTTCTGATCAAGATTTTTTATTTCCCCTCTCAGGACCTACTGATGGTAACCTACTTGGCAAACCTCACACAGTCACAGATTGCTCTCAATGAAAAACTTCTGAGTTTATGAAGAAACTTCTGCCACCCTACACTTCCAAGAGCCTGAAGAATGAGCAGATACACTTTTCTGTGGTGGCGTTACAAACTTCCTTGGACCATAATTTAACTACCTAGGTGACTTGGTTTACAACTTTACTCCTGTTGCCCTGAAAATCGCCTGATGTGGTTTAGGAGATAAATGGGAATGGTTGCAGTTTAGTTGAGCCCAATATTTTAAAATGGAATACGTGAGTCTCTTGTCTCCTGGGTTTATCTACTTGTATAACAAAACACAGCTTTATTGTAAGGATGGATTTGAAATAAAAGTTCCACTGCAATGGCAAGAATGGCTTCTGTCCAGAAAAAACTGTTTTCATTTATTGTAAATGAATCCACTTTTAAAAGAAACAGGGGGATAACACCGCATCAAGGAAAGAAAACTAGAGTGGATGCAAGTCGGCTCCCAATTCTGCAGACTTCTTTGCAGGTTTCTTTCCCAACTGTTAAAGCACGCTAAAAGTGTGGCTTCTTGTGTTGCACGTAAGAGGCGTTTCCGTGGAGGACTGCAGCATAGTCACCGATTCATTAGTGCTGCTGTGTACGTGCCCTTCTTCGGCAGGGTACTGACCGAGTACGTGACAGTGAATTCTGTTCACAGCATGGTGTCGTTCTGTGCAAATCTGATCATCTGGGGAAGGAAATCAAGGTCAGCAGCATTAGCCTCTCAAAGTGGGGGCTCAGAGAGTTAAACTAGCAACGGGGTTCATGGTAAAACGGCCTGAAAAGCATTTGTGGCTGAACAAGGGTGACTACTGGAGTTTCCATCTTTGCAAAGGAACAGCACAGCAAAACTACACTTCATGAAGCTTTGAGTTTAAAAGAGTTCTGTCATCAAATAGGAATGTTCTGTTTCATGACCCAGTACTGCTGCTAAAATTACGTGAACAGAAACTTCCCATTTTCTCCCCAAAACCTATTTCATGCTAAGTGAGTTCTAGCTGAAAGGAAGCCAATACCAATCTGAGCTGTAACTTTTTACAGTCTCGGCTAACAATTTTACCTGTAGAAGTCTCTTCAGCTGTACTGAGGAGGTTTTGCCTAACAGAGTAAAAGTGTCCCTCTTCTGCAACGTAACTGTTCCCACCTAATTACTAATGACTTTCTGATGCCTCACATCTGTTTTGGTGAACGAAAAGTTAAAGAAGCCTGCAAAGCCAGTGTTCCCCAAAATAATTTTTTGTGCTAATTTGCCGGGTAAATCCAAGAATGGGACTCCGTTTACAAATCTGTAGATCCTGTACTGGTTTCTCTGATCTGGAGAATTCCCCCCATGACTCAGTGCTAAATCTTAAGTTCTAATTGCAAAGACAAGGTACGTGAAAACTGAAGGTATAGCAAAGATTCTCATTTCTTTCAAAATGTTATTCATGAGCATTAGATAAGTGTAAAACTCAGCTCTTGTTTTTTGTTAGCCTGAATAAAAGTGTTTGTTTCCCCTTGTCCCCTTGAAACTTTATAACTTTGGACATTTAACTATTTCACAAATTTTCAGGTTGAGGTGTTTTTTAAAGTAAGCCTTGAAATAGGCGGAGGAAAAGAGCAAGCAGCAAAGCTGGGTAAGTCCCTCAATTACTGCAAAAAAGTTGCAGGGGGGAGGGAAAGCATAATATTTTTTCCCTGATCTCTCCTGCAGTAAACTTTTGCCATTCCCTGTTAGGAAAATTGACAAAATGTAAGAAGAAAGATTTCAAATGCTCTACAACTTGAATAGCTATGCTATTTTGTAAGCTGCTGTGCACAAAATGCAAAGTTCTGAGAAGAAAGATGAATTTGTGATCGTTGATACAGAAAAAGGTATTGTGGAATTTGCCAGTCCTTGCTAGTCCCTGGAGACTAAAGATGATAGGTCATAAGGGACTGAGGTTACGTCTTCCCAGGTAGAAAGATTCACTGCGAAGCAGAGGTGTCAGAAGAGGCCACAAGCCATAGGTCTGGTTGTGTGCCAGAAAGCACAGTGAGAAATGCTTGGAATTGGAGTAGGAAAAAAAGACTTGTCCTTTTAAAAACTCCATATCTGATCACATCCATTCCATCCCTTTTTCCTGGGTGAAAGGCACACTGTGAACCACACTTTTGACTCTGGAAATAAATACAAATGCAGTGCATCATTTGGCTTAACTGTAAAGCCTGGGCTGCATTATTACCTAGGAGGCATTCCTCCTCTGGAGTCTGAAAATCTAGACAGGAATTCCAGAAGGCATTTTATTCAAATTGTTCCACTTTATGGAACTCTATCTAAAAACTTCAAGTTCAATAGAAAATCTGGTAGGAAAAGCTTGGGAGTCAAGAATCATTACCAAGGATTTCAAGATTTAACTTGCTATTGATTTGTTAACCACAGACTTCTTGGATTTATTAGGGGACTTTCCTTTTTTTGTTTAGGATGCATTGCTCCAAAGAACTTCAACAAAGTCTAGCTTTAAATAGTCAAGACTGAGAGTTCTCTGGGTATGCTTCTATATACACCATCTATTATATTTAGTCATATTAGTGCTCTCACTAATATAAGTTTTCTGTTCTCTGTGACACGTTCAGCCTTTTTCTTTTCCTAGATGGCTTCTCTGAATGAGTACAACTTCACTGGACATTACTGCATTACATGTTTATTGCTGGCAATGCGCATGTTTTCCTGGTAAATATTAGGCTTTAAAATACCTTGCTTAGACGACTTTGTTACCAGCTCCTAGCACTCAAGTATTTAATTGCTCAAATGATGGTAAGTTTTTTTTGTATCCCGGCTTAGTTGAGCTGATCTTGGGTTTTTACCTCAGCGTGACATTCTCCTTGAAAACTTGTTTTCCTCGATATAAACAGCAATATTCAGAACATAGTTTATCATTAACAATTGAGTCTCTTGTTCTAAGTACACAGAATACTGCGTACTCAGAGAAGTTGGAAGAATGTATAAAATCAGTCCACCTTGCTGCCTTGGACCCTTCTCAGACACATAATCCCAGTCAGCCTCAACAAAGGAACGGAGGAAGCATCTCTTGGCAGTACCAAGAGGCAATGAAGCCTTCTGCTTTTTTCAGTGAGCATGGTGACCTCTCACAACCTTTAATTAGCAGTTTAATTAGCATGCAGACATTATGCTTTGTTCTGACATCTTCCTAGCTTAGTAAGACTCTGCTTGTTTGCATCTTTGAGCAAGTGCACCTAAAACCCACAAGCACATGAAAGTACTCTGTGTTACTTATCAAAATCAATACTTGCAGGAAAATCTTTTTTTGCCAGAGGGAGCTGGTACTGCTCCGGTATTTCTTACCTGATGACAGTCTCAGCAGTAGAAAGGTGGTGGTGCACTACAACAGAAACTGGAGATACCCGACAGTAATTAGGCTCCCTGTGCTCTGTTGTGCTGCAAGGCTTGCGGATAATTCTTCAAGAGATCTTAGTGGATTGGCAGTAGGCAAAAGTCAGGTTTCCTCTGGCTGCTAGCAGGTACTTTGGATCGATGCTGCAACAGAACAGTTCTGGTGGTGACTAGGATTAGAATAAGATCTAAAGGGAGTCCTTGCAGACTGTACTGTGTCACAGACAGGTTGCTGGTTAAGCTAAAAAGCAATTGCAATTTGACATTCTAAATTCATGTGACTGAAGAAAAGGGTTAGTACTATGTATTTCTCTGGGTAGGGGAAGTAGCTCGTGCTGCTAATTTGGTGCATTTAACAGACACTTCGTTGTTGCCATCTTCTCTGGTTCCCTGTGTTAACTAACTTTACCTTAGAAGGGTTTCCCGAACCACAAATTCAGTTCTTCCCTGTCTTGACCAACCATATCTTAAATTCTATTTTAAATATACCTCAGCATAACTCCTTTGTCCTTATTAAAGTTCTTATTTCATGCTCTCCCTGGTATTTATACATAATCTGTTACAGGCAGTCATCATACTGTAGCCTTCATTTTACTAAATGTATTAAGCTTTATCTCCTTTCTTCTGACACACTGTCTATGCTTCGATCACTTCGCTGCCCACTTTAAACTTAATTTAAGCCTTTCTTGATCTTGAGTTGGTAAAGATCATGCCCGTATCAGCATACAGATCAATGAATGTAAGAATACATTAATACTTTCCTGTTTAAAATTCCTTGTTTGCCTCTTGGCATCTGTCTTGTAGTGTGATTGAGCACCCCGATCTCTTGCCCCTGCTGTCATTTGCAGCTGAACTCCAATCTGCCAGAAAATTATTAATTCGAACGCATGACCTGGCATTATTGACGTTTTTAATTTAAAAAAATCAAGATCCACACATTTCTTCTGGTTTGGATTATTCTCCGTATTGGTGACACCTCACAGTTTTGTCTGCAGGTATCATTAGCTTATTCCTAACTTTTTGTGCCCTACTCAGTTAAGAAAAAACTTGCAAATTATCCCGAACGAATTTAACAGAATTCCACAAATTCCCTTTTCAACATAGCCTTTGTTCTTTCTTACAAGTTGTTTATCCTTGCTCATGCTAATTCCTGTCTTCTGTAGTTTAACTAATTGTGGGTTGTTGCCAAGCCTTCTGTGGACTCCCCAGTGGTTTATACCAAACTCATTTAGAATGTACGTTGTGTCAGACTGACCTAGTATGTCCAGGGATCGATCGTTGCTAAACCATGCGTTTGGATGTAAGCCTTGGAAAGCGGAGGTAAGACTAATTGTTCTGTATTGTTGAGAATAACGGAATTTTTATTTTGCTGTCTGCAATTTGACAGTTAAAAAATCCTTGCTGCCAGAATTACAATTTCATTTGCTGATTATTCTGTATACAGGAATGAAGGTCACTAAGTTTGCCTTGTTAGCTCAGTCATTTAAGTTGCCTGGCAGAAGCAGTCTGCTGCGAAGAGGAAGCAGTGTTTTGGTGTGTGATTTTGTGAACCTGCGGACATATGCCATCTATTACCAACTAATCTGAAATGCACGGTTTTAATCCTAAGGATTAAAAAGTTGATGGTGAAAAATGTCGCACATGCTGCTCTTTTAAGTAGCCTAGCTGAACAACATGCTGTTCTCCTGTGCTTTGAGGAAGGGTGAAGCTTCTGTTTTTAGCGTGGTTCCACACAACAGGACTGGAGACCCGGGTGGCAACCCCGTTGTAAGGTTTGTGTAAAGTCTCCATGTCTCGACCACAGCAGGCGGAGCCCCACCATGACTCACTGGGAGCGACTTTCTCTTCCTGAAGAAAACTGATCCTGCTCTGCTCCCTGTTCACAGGGAAGGTTAACTCCACAGCTCACTTTGACGATCTGCATTTTAATTACTGCAGTCACAAGGTAGCGTAACAGGGAAAGAATTTTTAGTACATAATTTAGACTTGGATCACTGCAGGATCCTGCTGGTTTAGTATACTTTGACCTACGGTTCAAAGCTGAACCAGATCTTGTTGTTTACAGCAAACTATGGGAAGGTAAAGGTTTTTTAATTTAACTGTATTGGCTGAAGTAAAACATCAAAAGTAATGCTTTATTTTACTTAAGTGGGAAATAATGTTCCAACCTGGATACATAGCACAGAGAAGCAGCAATGCTTCAGCGACCTATGTCACCAACAATAAATTACTCTGGGAGGAAAAAAGGGGTTTTTTGGCTCTATTGATAGTGCTTAGTTAGCACGACGATGTAGTTGAGAGCCAAGTCTCTCCAGACCAGAATTCTGCCCAGGATCACATCTTAACAGAAGATGCAAGGATAGTACAAGAGAGTAGAAAAGAGTCTGTCTCCCCACTTCACTGAAGTTAAGTTTAAGGGTGAGAAGCTGCCTTGACTCTGCATGGGGTTTCAGAAGCTTTCCTGAACGTGCTGGCTCTAGCCATAGTAACAAGCCAAGGGATTTCCTTAAATATAGGGAGTGAAATTAGATGACCACAATGGTTCCACTCCATGGCTTAAAAAAGTCATTCCAGATGTTCTTGTTAACATACGAGCATGCAATGCACTTAACATAGATTCTTCAGACATATGTTGTTTTATTGAAATGTTTTCTCTTATTCTTTTCCCACGTGTTTGTGAAAACAGATTGTTCCTTTCCTGAACAGCTCAAATCCAAACAGTCCACTAAATGGAAGAGATGAAGAACGGTGTGGTTTATAGATGTACTCGGTTCCCATGGAAACGGGGATTTAAATATATACCTGTCGTGAAGGAAATGTGCTTCACAGAGCTGAAATAAGAGCAGACATGCACTGGGAGTGTCAGCTGAAGAATGCCGTGAGGATTAAACTGTTACAGCTGCTCCTGATGCCTTCTGGGCAAGCAAGAGAGAACAAGCCCAATGCTGCTGAAGATGGGTCAATTATTAGATTCTTTACGTGGCTTTAGGTGCTTTTCATTTTAAGAGGGCAAGCACGGTAAATTATTACCCACCTATTTTCTGCTGCCTGCACTCACTGCTGTCTCACAGACAAACAGAGCAGAGGCTGCTGCTTCATCTAGAGCTCAAGTGCTGCACCAGGTCACAGGAAAAAGTTATTGGCATTTTAATGGTCTCTGAACTGCTAATGTGCTTATCATTAATATAGGGGGTTATTTTGAATGATCTCAAGCAACAAGTGCATCGTATCATAGGTGGCTCCTTCCTAAATTGTACCTTGCTGGTCCAAATCTCTTACGAATAATTAGCCACCAGGTAAAGGAGGGATGACATGTGCCTAGTGTCTAAGCATCATATAAATAAACATTACAACAGCCAGAAACAAAACGCCAAGCACACTTCCCACAACAGCATACAAATGACTGTAATTACGGTTTCTTTCTAGAGAAAGGCATACGGTAGCCAGGTCAATCTCACCTTCACGCCCTCTCGGGATGCAGACCCCGATGTCGAGCAACCACATAAAAAAGGAGCAACTCTTCTGGCTCCCTGACGCCTTCTGCGCCCTACGCGCTGTGC